CGATTCCGCGCGACACCGACGCACGCGCGCTACATAACGCTGCAAACTCCGGCACGTCTTTCGGAGATTTAAAGCGCACCGACGCGGGGGGGGGGGGGGGGGCTTCGCGTAGTTTAATCGAAGATACCAGCCGCGCCGCCGAGTTTTCCCGCAACATGGCAAGCGGATTACGGACGGAGAGAACCGCGCTAAGAGACATCGATATTCGTTGAAGCTTCTGTTCTGCACGAACGTTTCATAAATTAAGCAGATTTGCGGCCAAATTCAGCTGAATTTGAACGGCGGTCACACGCCGAGATTATATCAGATGCGCGCGGAGAGAAGTTCGGGGATTCGAGAGGCAAGTTCGGCGGACCGAGAGCAGCCTCGCTTGAAACCGGATTTCTCGTTCGCGTCCACATGAGAAGCACCGCGCGGTTTCGGAATTAATACCGGCTTCTGCGAGTATTACTCCACACAATCGCACAGAGAGAGAGAGGGAGGGAGAGGGAGAGAGAGAGAGAGAGAGAGAGAGAGACCGAAAGAGAAAGAGAGAGAGAGAAATATGGACTCAACGTTCCGCTCGGACGGTGACGGCCAAAGTCGACGTGTTCTTTTCGGCTGCTGGCCGAACGGACATCCGTAAAAACGGCTCGCCACATGAACCGCCGAATCAAGCAGCACGCGAACGGCGCGTTTCGCGTGAGGCACGAAAGTACGAGAGGAACTTGCTGTGCAAGTCCGCCCACAGCCGGCCGGTCAAGGTTAATTGAACTTAAAACGTGCGCTAAACACTTGTGCACACCGCGGAAACGCGCGTTGACGGTTATCGCGCGACACACGTTAGACGCCGCCCGAGATGCTTGCGATTGTACATACGCCCAGGCGATGCCGAATAATCCGTACACGAGACTCTCGCGCGTCTCGCAGGCTCGACGTTTTGCGATAGCGTAGCGTTTAACTATGCAAATTTCCCTGACGAAGGTTTAGATCGATGTCAGAAGCACCCCCGATTAACCCCCGTCAAGCCATCATTTGGCTATCAGGCTGATTCGTCAGCGCGAGACCTCGAGTGGGAATCAATTTGAGCGCGATCTCACGCAGGCCGATCCTCCTCCTAACCTCGAATCTCGAGAGACACGTCGCGGTCGGGGAGTACATTTTTCAGCTTCGGCTGTTAATTTTCTCGCGGTTTAGGGTGTTCGCCCTACGCGAACACGCGAGGAAGAAACGGTCTCTCAATTCTGCCGGGGCGGCTGCTCGCTTGCAACCTGAGTCTCTCGAGAATGGCGGAACGGCCGATAATGGTCGTTGTTGGATGCTCCCGATAGCCCCGTCTTCCTGTTTGTCGTAGCGGCGGAAAAACGCGAGCAAGACGGGGAGGAAAGCACACACACACACACACACACACACACACACACACACACACACACGCCGGGCGAGGCGCGATTTCCGAGTGACCGAGAGTGACGATTTACCGGCGAACGCGTTTTTTCATCCCCCGTAGCGAAAAAGGGGGTTGGAGACAGAGGAGCGGAGGAAGAGAGAGAGAGAGAGAGAGAGAGAGAAAGAGAGCGAGCGCGAATAAGAGGAAACCGCGAATCGACGGACCAAGGATAACCCGCATGCGGCGTGTGTCTCCGCGTATTTTCAAGCATTGTCGGCAAACAATGAAACGGTTACGGGACGCGTTAACGGCGGCCATTGTCTCGCGCTCGTGACAGGGGCAAAATGTTCGCGCACAATGGCTTCCTCATACGTCTGACTACGCGCATCCCGCTGTTCCTGGTAACCAGGGGGACACACTCTATATCTCTTTCGGCTTCTCTCTCTCTCTCTCTCTCTCTCTCTCTCTCTCTCTCTCGCTCTCTCTTCCGCGCTCCGCTTCGTTCCTCATACTCCCACTCGGCCTTTTCCCCGTTTTTGCCCGATCCTCGTTTTCATCGGACAAAACACCGCTGGCGCATACGAGTTCGAGATAACGATGATTATCACGAGCCGCGTGATAACGCATTCGGCATTCTTCCTTCACCGACACGTCGTGCTATCTTACGGAGAATTTGAACGGTTCAAATGAATAGTTCCGTGCGCACTAGATCGCACGGTTGTAGCATACGTAATTTTTGTTTGTTTGCGCAGCAAAAATAAAGAGAGAGAGAGAGAGGGGAAGGGGCGATTCTCGAGCGAGCAATTTTCGAGCGACATGTGCATTTCTGTCTCTATCGTATCTTTCTCAAAGCTCCGACGACGAAGGATAAAAGTTGATTACGGCGACCCCCAGGAATCGTTAAATCTTCCAATTTATATCCCGAGTTTTATCAAGTACGAAACATATATATCGCGCGAAAAAAACATGGCGATTAACCCGAGCCGGGGAAAACTACCCCTAAAAAGAAACAGAGAGAACGAAACCGATGATGAGTTCGCAGGTGTTGCAATTTCTGGAGAGGAGAAATGCAATTTCTGAACTCTCATGCGGCACTATTTTATACACGTTAACGTAAACTCGGAGTTCGTTGTGTGCGCAAAACGTTACACAATACGTGTATCTCGAGATGTGTTACGTCCTCATACGCCCCCCGATGTTTGCAGAAACTACTCTGATTTAGTAGGGGGAGGGAGAGAGGAGAGTCACGCGAACGAAAAATTCGCGCCGTCCGACGAAAACGTGTATAAGCATTTGGAATCCCACTCTCGCGTGTGCTAATGCGAATTTCTGGCATTACCGGCATGAAACATGGCTGCGCCACGCCTGATTCAGGCAGGTTCGCATGCACAGCTCGCCCCTGCTGCCGGCAGGGACACGCGGATTTAACGAGAATCGTATCGGGTGCATCAGACGCGGCCGGACGGCATAAACACATTGAGCCTATCGATCGAATTCCCACCCGGAGAGCAAAGAGCTATGTGAGAAATTACAGGTGGCTGCTCTCCTAGTATTAATAATGTATTTGAAATCCCGGCGAAAAACGTGACAGGAGACTAACGTGTGCAGGTATGTGCGTGCGTGCGTGCGTGCGTGCGTGCGTGCGTGCGTATGTGTGTGGTATACATGACGATGAGCTGCTCTTCTGACGCCGATATTTCGGACAATTCACTCCGTTGCGATAATAAAACGCACAATGCAAAAATTACAATACCCGCGGGATGCGCGTGAAAGTGGGGAATTTCAATAATATTTGGAAATGAGATTCGTACGGACGAGCGAGCGAGCGAGCGGAAGAGCGGGAGAGCGAGAGCTTTGGATGCGTTTATTGGATTCTGCCATTAGTATCATTTTAGGAAGCGACGTGGAAGTCATTGAAATCTCACAACGGGATGAATATTTTACGAACGTTTCCAGCAATTACATCCTCGATGAAATATTATCGATCTCTCGATCAAAGGCAGGCTACGGCAGGTGAGTAAAGTACACGCTGGTCGCGCGAAAACTTTGACACCGAAATTCGCACAATTTCGAAGTCTGAATTTTTTCCTCCCTCTCTTCGTCCTCTTGCCACCTTGATTAAAACGCATTTCTATTCTGCTCTGCAGTTCAGCTCTACCGTAAGATAAAATATATCAAGCGTGCTTCTCTTCTTCTAAAATTCCGCGCCTTCTAAAATTTGCGACGGAACGCGTATCAAGAATTTTTCTCAGTGCTTGTCCAACGACTTTCACGACGCGACGCAGCGCGAAGGAAGAATTTCACACAAAGGCAAACGATACCGTGCAAAAATTAGGATATCGTGTTCGCGAGAGCGCGAGAATGCCGAAGCGCGGAAAGCTCCAGCAAGTAAATAATACCTCGGCAAGAGTCACGTAATTGCTTATTGTCGCCAGTCGAGCTTCGAGAGGCATTTCTCTCATAAGGTTTCACCGGAAAACGCGGAAATGAAGTCGCTTAAATGCAACTACGCCGCCCTTTCGTAGATACTCCGCCATCGCCGACGTCGTCGTCGTTGCCGTCGTCGTTGCCGTCGTCGTCGTCACGAAGAACTCGACTCCCGTTCTCTTGATTTCCCTCTACGCTCTGTGACCGATCGCGCGCCGCTACGTCTCGCAAATTGCTTCGTTACTCGCGAACAAATCCCACGTTAATTGATACCGACGGTCTTTTAGAGCGTTCACGCTGATCCCGGGCCGTCACGGTCGTCGCTTGCACGATGGGAATTCAAAAAGCCGCGGAATCAAGATTAAATTGCACTCGCGAAAGATTCTCAGTCCTGAAAATGATTTCACGCGTCGACAATCCCCTAGGACACCAGCGTCGTCGTTATTCTTCCCGCGGATGTTCAAAGGCAGAGTCGGCGCAAAAGACTGGTGCTCGCGCGGCATTATTACAAAACGCCCTCATAATACTCGTATCTCGTTACAACAGTAACAGCTTCAACCTGTTGCGGACGTGCAAGTTCTTTGTAAAAAAAGAACCAATTAAAATTTCATCTTATCGTCTAGTTCGCCTAAACTATCCGATTTGTCGATCGCATCGCAACCGAGATAGAAGGAGAGAAAGAGAGAGAGAGAGAGAGAGAGAGACAGCGACTGTATTTATCTATATATATTTATCCGCCGACACACATACTTGGTGTATACATATATCCACGAGTACAACAGTGTATACGTAAATAAATATATACAGGGTGTCCGGGCTCTTTTGCAAACGAAAAATTGTGAAGATCAATCAGATCAGAAACTGGGAAAAAAAGTCAAGTCCCACTTTGCAAAAATCGCAATTAAGTTATTAAGTTATCAACGATTGAAAATGACCACATTTAAAGGCTCTTTTAATTGATAATTTGTATACTTTGCAAGTTATCAATTAAAAGAGCCTCTAGATGTGGCCATTTTCAATCATTAATAACTTAACAACTATCGCGACTTTTGCGAAATGGTACTTGACTTTTCTTCTCAGTTTGATCTGATTGATCTTCACAACTTTTCGTTTCCAAAAGATCCCGGACATCCTGTATATATAAATATATATATATATATATATATATATATGCACGCATACACATGTATATATTGATACATGTGCACGGGATATGGACGACCGAGCGTTATTGGGAAGCAGTTGGTAGGATCGACGGGATAGGAAACGAAATATATTGACGCCGCAGCAGATATAGGCATGACTGGCCCCGATCTGTCACACAAATCATCCGCTTCGGGTCGTCGCCATGACGCTGCCAGCAGACGCATCGCGGCACCTCGTTTCGCTACTTCTGTCTTTTATGCACGTAAATATATACTAGTCCCAAATATAGCCGGTGTAACACACCGGCAGTACGTCAAAAATGACCGGCGACGCAGTCGTTTATTTTCTTATATCCCTCAGAAACGCATTCGCGTGGCCATGCTATTTGCGCAGCTCGCTCGTGCGAACCAGATTTACAGTATTGTCAGATTTTCGCGAAATTTATAACGACGATGTGGAACGTTTCAAAGCGCCGAGAGGGGCTTGCCCTCTCGCCGTTTTGAATTCGCGTCGACTTCGACGCTGCGAATCTGCAAAGTGAAATTTACATCCTAGGGAGCGAATTTATTATCGGATATCACAGAGGTAACTTACATTACAGTCAACGATAAATCACACAAGAGATAAGAGAACCGTATTCCCGTAAAATATATATCTTTATTATCTGCAGGAGGATTTGAAGAACCACATACGTGTGATCATTCCAACAAACAAGAAGAAAGCAACATTATAGACTCGGAACTGTCTTTGGAAAGTGTGGCAGACCATCAGAAAAAGCAGCATTGAAAAGCACGGAAATGATCCCCCTTTCTATATCTTCTTACGTACGTGCGTGCGTGTGCGTGTGCGTGTGTGTGCGCGCGCACATGCGTTCATGTGTACACACATGCTCACACTCAATTTTCTGTGTAGATTATAATCAACCGGGCCTTACAAAGCGATATTAATAGGGCCTTATAAGGAAATATTTTTATTACAGCTTGAGTAAAAATATTCGTTCTTTTCATTCTAAAAAATTTAGACTGTAATTTCTTTATTCCTTTGTAGTACCCTTGTTAGTATACAACAAGAATTTTTTATTTTAAAAATATAGCACACTTTACAATAAAATATAGCATTCTTTACACATAAAAATCCTGCTACTGTTTTTATTGAAGTTTGCTGCATTTCAAAACAAAGGCAATATTAGAAAATCCTTGGAAGAGACTAATGAATATAGCAACTAATAAAACTAACAAAATTTGTTCTTAATTGCGGTATAATTAAAATAGCAAGTGTGTCTCTTTTTGTGGCTGTTTCGTTGAAACGGTATGAGAGAACGCGCGTTGTCGCTTATTTATCCACTTTTACATGTCGCGTAATTCGATAGTCATAATGACTTATAAGGCAAAATTGAGATTGGCACCGTGCATACGCACAAAAGGCAGAAAGGGAGACGATAGTAAACATTATTTGGTTTCCTTTTGAAGAAGCCTGTAGCTCGAATTACGCGCTCCGATAATCGTCAATCGATTCACCATTAGCCCCCCCCAATCGTCGGCGCTGTAGACTACTGGATAACATTTGAATATTTTGGTCGACATCAATACTTTTTTCGCCAATATTTTTTTCTTGTCTTCGTGTTGCTTTTTGCATACCGCGTGATCGTTATTAAACAAAGTTATATCAATTCAATTGTCATTCGCGCTGACGTAAAACCAGATGGTACGGAATGAAATAAGAACTGTCAGATACTTCTCTCTTTATTGGGATATCATCTAGCTCCCGGTTAATCAAACGCCCCTTCGCGGAAAGAAATGGACATATGTTGAAAATTATCGGACGTAAACAACGAGCACGAGAACGCGCCTGCCGAGGTGTAAACATCGCCGAGGTCGCAGTGACGAGGAACGCGGTCGCTAGTGTATTTTTGCTAGCTCGAAGCCGAAGCACGAGCATGAGAAAAAATATGTCGGTGTATATCGAGGAAGAGACTGCCGTAGCAGTGATTCGTTAAATTTTCTTAAATTATTGACACTGCGCATAAATATTATGCACAAAATATCAGATTAATATTCGTATAAAGTTTTGCAAAAAGAAGCCAGCTTCAGCTTCCAATCAATATGGTTTTTCATCAAATATATATCTTATCGATTCACTCTCAAGGTTTCGCGTATAATTTTTCGCAGAATAAATATTTTCGCAATGATCAGAGAGCAAGCAAACAGTGCTTCTCGCAATTCACATTTTTATTAAGCTTGATATGAACGCATATTATCGCGCGCTATCTTTTTTTACTATCTCTGGTCGAAAACCAATGCGATTTATATATGAGCATGCATTATAAAATATGACGCTTTCTGAGCGTTTTATCTCAGCACACTCACCGACTTTCGTTGACTCCTGTGACTCTGCATCCGTCCAATGTCCAGTCTCCTCAACATCCAGGACAAGTTTCTTTTTTCACAATATTTTGTCGCTTTTTCTCTCTCTTTGTTTGTCTTTTCTCTTTCATTAATTTCGATGGGATTTTAAGGAAAAGGAATGGCGAGACAAAGAAGCATATATGGTCGCGTTCAAAAGATTTTTATCCCAAAAAGAAGTAAACACGATAAATCGCAACGTTCCGAGAATGTATATATATATATACGTGAGACGCGATTCGCGTAGAATCAATCGCGAATGAAAATTACGACGTTTAGACAAGAGAGAAAAAATGAGAGAAAATGTTTTGTTTCGCGAACGGTAATTCGAAAGAAACGCACGTCTTGTTTCGTAAGGACTAAGTTGTAATGTAAATAAACGCGCGTACCGAATTTGTCGGTAATTTCAAATGAAATATTATCGCTTCTGACACACGCGAAAAATGTAGAAAATTGATAAACTCGACAGACATAAAATTTATCGAGCCGAATAAGATAAATAACGGTGAATTTCACGTGCGTTGGCGCAATTCTGATGAAATTTTAACATTACACATTGCTCGAAGCAGGAGTTATATTGATTGAATCGCAGCAAATAATTCCATATTTTGATTTCAATATAATAACAAACTAAAGCATTTACATCTGTATCTTTTAATGATTCAGACTAAAAATATAAAAGAGAGAAATATATATTATATCTTAAAGATTCTGTTGTGTAATATACGGTCATCGAAAGACACGATCTCCTGATTATTTCGAGCAACGTGTGAAAAAAAGTATAATTAAATCGCATTGATTTTCTCGAGATATTGCAAACACCCATCACCATAAAAATGTCTTTTCTTCTCTGACTCACCGATACACAGCAGACAGAGTCAGCCGCGTTCTGCTGCGGATCTGCAACAAAAAATATATAGTTTCGTTAGTTAAACCGTTAGGTTAAAAGTTAAGTTAGGTTGAGTTCAGTTCGCGGAAGCGCGCGCGCGCCGACACAAACGTTTGACCCTTTGCCATCGTAATTCAACGGCCTTTGTTCCAATCGCTCGGTTTTCGATCGCAATGACTCAAGAAGATCGTTTACAAACGATCGGTGAACCTCACCTTCAAGCCGACTCTGCTCGGCCCGAACCGGATCCTCCGGTGCGGCATCGGCGTCCGTCGAAACTGCGTCTCGATAACCACAGCCATCGCGTGGTCGCAAATTCCAGCAGATCTGTAACAAAAAGCGAGTTTCCTCATTAGTATTACAACGACAAATGCGCCCCGCATCAAGAGTACGAAGACTCGAGACTACAAATTAGCTTCTTCAACTTAACCAAGTTAACTAATAAAAGTTTACCTTTAAAGACCATGAAACACTGCTATTCTCATGCTCAAGATACTCCGGATCGTCACGCACATACACTTACACACACACACACACACACGAATATTACACGTTACACGCGCGCGTACACTGTGATCGAGCGTGAAAATTGGGAAATTATTACGCGCGGCGGTCCGCCGATCCGTCCGCCGCCGCGGCGTAAACAATAATGATAGCGGTCGCGGCAGTTGCGTACTTATGAACATGTTGTTTTCAAAGTCGTACGACCTTATCCCGCCGGGACGCGTCTCAGAAAGTCCCTAATGTTGTATAAAACTTACCTTTTCAAACAAAAAGATAAAAAGAGGCGCCAAGTATTGCGCGCAACATGTATTGTATTATTTTTAGAAATTCCAAATTATTTCTTTTTCAAGTTATATATGTAACATAAAATTTTACAAGTAAAACTTATAACTGTAATAAAACTCTACAACACTGTTCTACTTTACGAAAGAAATGATATATATTAAAATAGTAACGCCAACTAGAGAAACCTAACATATATATATATATATATATATGATTATAATATAATTAATTCTTTATTCAAGATAAACAGCAATGTTTACGCTTTTAGTACTGTGTGTCGTATCGCACCTGATCGTGTATCTTTGGGCAATGTAATTTATTATTTTCGTTATACAAGTAATAAGTAGAGATGTGCGAACTATTCGAATTCAAATCGAATCGAATCGAATTCGATTCGAATTCGAATCCGAATAATTCGAATAGGAATCAAATACATTATCGTTTGCGTACATCAGCTACAAAACGGGCCATCCGAGCCATCCGAGTATGTTTGAATCCTTAACTTGTAATTAACTTAACTTATAATTGATAACTTAATTATAAATTACTTTAATTATTTAAATATATATTTTACTTTAAGATGATATTACATCAATCACTATTCCTTTTCATATTAAAATCTTCCATCGTTGTTTGCATGTTTAATAGTCATGTTAAATTTTTTAATGTTCCGATTCGATTTCGTTCGATTCGATTCGAATTCGAGTGAAATTTCATAGATTCGATTCGATTCAAATTCGAATCAGAGAAATGAGATTCGATTCGATATAAAAATTCTTGATTCGCACATCTCTAGTAATAAGCTTGTACAAGTGAAACTTATACCTCTAACAATAAATTCTTCTGTCGAATACTGTAAATAAAACTCTACAAAACTGTTCTACAAAAACATGATATAACAAAACAATAGTATCAACTGGAAAACTCTACTCAACATCAACTCTGCAAGTGAGAGCGATTTGCAATCTGAAGATAAATGTATCGAAAACTCCCAGTGATACATGACGATATCCGGTACTTGAAAAACAGTCAAAAAATGACAAAAGTCATTGTGTAAAGGTTGCGACAGTATTTGAAACAGATTCTGAAGGATCAGTAGCGCGCGTTTTTAGCACGTAGAGAAAAAAGAAATAACAAGGAGCCACGTCGAATTACGGCTGAGCGGTACGTCGCACCCTCCTGTTCACGCCGTTATATTCTGGCAACCGCCGCGAGGAACATAATCAGCATCAACAGCAACGCGAAATGATACGAAGCCAAGGACAATTATTTTTCCCAGTCGTTCCCAGCGCGCCCTGATAAATAGCCGGTCGTTTCCGCGTTCCAAGGCAGTAAGGTGTGCGATGTTTCCCAGATCCATTGCGCAACTTTTATCGTCGCGGAATATTAGAGCCTATTCCACTCCCTTTCGCCCCCATAAAAGCAATAACACACAATTCACAGAGTCAACAGTTTGGCTCCGCGCGTGAGATAAGCGTGTGCCAAGCTGGCACGGCTCTGCGCGTTCTCTTCGAGTCGCTCGGAGTCGAAAACACCATCTGGCTATCTTCCTCTCGTCGTAAACTGTTTAATTTCATCGCGGAGAGTCCTCTTGACTCTTAATTTTTATACACGCGCGGGGAGAATCGACGAACTCGCGAGAGAATCGTCGTCGCAAAAATACAGCGCCCTTGTGAAACACCGTCTCGCTTGTTGTTTTCGTTTACCGCGCGATGTAATTCAAATCAGCTGCATCCCCTTCGTTGCCGAGGAAATGCGCTCGTGTGTTTAAACGTAGAGATCTCTATCAGGCGCGCGATGTGTGTTTGAAAACGGATGAATTTCGAGACATTTTTTCGCGACTACTAGTCGCGCGATACTGCAC